GTGCAACCGTATGTAACTTCTTCCTCAACTCGATGCCAGCATTTGCAAAGAAACTTTCTAGACAAACAAACTGACAAGCAAACAAATAAATAAATAAACTTTCATTCCCAGGCAGCGCACGCTCTTTGAGAGCAGCTCGAACAGAAAAGAAAGTCTTTCTAACAACTGCAGCTCTCCATATGGAACCAGGCTGTCTTTATTTCTTGTCTTTCAGCAGGCGCTGAACCAAGGGGAAAAGTTTTTCCTTGTGACAGGGTCATGGACAAGTTCTTGATGAGTGAGAAATGAGAGCTGTGAGGACCTGCAGCCGCTTAGCTCCAGTTCTTCAGCGGGCGATGTAGATAAACATCCTGCTACTGGTGACCTAAATAGAAGCTTTGGTTTCCTCCAATCCTCTGATTTTTAACAGATGGTGGAGGGGCTTTTGAAGGAGCGCTTCTGTCTCTATTTTAAGCGTGAAAACAATTAATATTCAAATTCTTGGCGATATTTAGCGAAGTACGAAAATTTGATACGCTGGCACTTCTTACACGTGCCTTACAACGGTACTATTTACGGTGCTAAATGCTGGGAGAGGTCTCGCTTCTGTCCCAGGAGAGTTCTCGGTTCTGCTGCAGGCCATCTTCACCTCGGCTGAATATTGATATTGATTTGCAAATGAGCTGAGTGCTCCAGTCGTGTTGCTGAGCCTCCTCTTTCCCAGACACTGAATACCCCTGAATGTCTTCTGTTACGTAACTTTTGTGCTGGTGCCACCAGCGCTGACGGCGGCAGAACACAAGGACTGCCTGTGTCTAAAAGTGTCCTCCTGATACCCCCTCCTGGGTCTCAGATGTGAAAAGAGGAAGGACAAGGAACTGCTGTGACACGGAACAGTGGGGAATGCAAGAGGTAAACAGAATTTGGTCTCTTTTTGTGGGGGGTTGAAGGAACTCTGAATGTAGCCCCTTGAAAGAAGCCTCTTGCTGCATCTGCAAAACCAGAACAAATTTATCAAGCAAAAGAAATATTTTCAGCGCTGGCTCAAGCACTCTTTTTAAGAAAAAAAAAATATAAAAGCGTTTAAGTAACAGCGCACATGTTTCATCATATGTTAATGGTGATAAATTCATAAATTCCCCTTTCCTTTTTCACATCTTGTGACAGCATAACGGGAAACTTTATTGTATTTTGTCAGGGTTTAAAAGAACAACACAAAAGAGTGTTCAACTCTGAAAGTGTAAGGATGTATGGGTTTGGATTTATTTTCAAACTAAAAGTGTGAGAAGTGCCGTATGGATGCTCGGTCAGCTCCCAAGAGATTTAGATCCAGAAATGAATGGAGGACATCTGCAAACACAGGGTCAGAGAGGGTTGGACAGCCTATTTTCCCTAATAAGAAAAACCATCATCTTAAACCTGCTTTCTGTATTTATCCACGGTGTTTTAATGCATGACATTAAAATCCGTTTGATGATGTGAGATATTAAGGTGTGACCACAAAGCAAACACAAAAGAAATTTGTGAAAGTGGGAAATGGGTTTTATAGCAACGCATGAATAATTCGTCTACCACTTTTGCAGCTGGTAAAATGCAGTGTTGTTGCAGGTCAACGCTTGCAGCCAAAAGGGAAAAATGAATCTTAAAAATATTACTATTTGCACTATAAAAGACGAAGACCTTCAAAATGCTGCAGCAGCTTGTCCACTTATTGATGTTTTTTGTGCAGTCGACCCATCTTCTGCTTTTTTTGATTGTCAACAAAGATATTGACTGCCAAATATGGCTAAAAGTTAAGCAATTAACCACAGTTTGGTTTTTTTTTTCTAATTTAATGTCTGACCTGACAATTACCCTTAAGACATGCCTTAAAAATCACACAAATATGGATGTTGAGCATTTATTTATTTTTTTAAATAAAATGACAAACACATATTTATTACTTGTGTTATCTTTTGTAGATTTATGTTCATGACCAGCACTTGGGTTAACGCTTCCAAAAAAAAAAATGTCACGTTTTCTTAAAAAATAACATCCATCCCTTTGTAAGTGGTTTTTATACAGTGGATTAATCCATGACAAACAGAATTTCCTAATCTCCAGAGTCTCATTCACAAAAAGGCTACTGCTTTCTATCAGAGACAGTGACGTTTAATGAGAGGCACTTACATTAAACTCTAGCACAATTAGGCGTTCCATGACAACCTCAGGAGTAAAATTAATCCCTTGAATAAAATTGGTCTCAGTTCTCAATATGTCACCCCGTGGGACGCAACTTCATTTCTATTCATTGACCCGCCATGAATTAGAGCTCATTTCCGGAGAGCACGGCTTTGTGGCGGCTCCCGCAGCAGGATGCATGGCTTTCATCTGCAGGAGCTCGGGGAAAAAAACAAACAAAGTTCCCTTATTCTCGTTTGATTCGAGGATTAGATCTGATTACAGATTTGAGCTGGACAACCTCTGCAACGGCCACACAATCTTCTTTCCTCTTCTTGTTAAATTTACATAAAACTGATGGGATTTCAATCCAGGATTCCTTCATAAGCACAACAGGGATGTGTTACAGAGGAGCCTGCTTATTATCAGCATCTGGTGCTTCAGAGGAATAGTCAATGATCAAATTTGATAGCTTTTAAACATCTTTTAAAATGACATTCAGTATTTGTAATTTGCCTGCATTTATCAGTGGACAATAAACAATTTTCTTCTTCACATTTTGTCTGAAATGTTATGTTTCTGCCTAATAAAATTACTACTTTTCAACAAGACAAAAACATGTTTTTTTTTTCTTTTGCGCTTTGGTGGAAGTGTATTTTGTGGGCGTGTATGTAAACATATTCTGACAGCAGCTCTCAGGCAACGAGAGCCATGTGTCCCACAAGCAAAAAAATAAAAATAAAAATAATAGTTTGAACACAACCAATTTCCTTAGTCACCCTTAGCCCACGTCTACTGAAGGACTGGTCAGCAGCAGTAGAAAACAAGTAATACATCTTTTTTTTTGTTTGTTTTGCATAATCATGAAAATATCTGTTTTATAGAAAATTAAATACACTTACAGTATTTTACAACTTTTTTCAGATACATGTGAGCTCAAGCAATACTACAAAGCTTCTGAAAATGAAAAGATACTAGACTGGAAATTGTAGGGAGGGATTGGTAGTAATACATGTGCAGCTTTAGGCAAAACAACAGACACCCTGCAGCAGCAAAGTAAAATCACTAGGGCCACTAAAGCACAGGAAGGACTGGGGGCCTGATGGTGCTGGGCGGGGAGGCGGCCATGGTAGAAATGGAAGTATGAAAATGGGAGGCAGTGAGGCAAGATGTCGTAAAGTGATAGTTTAGATTTTGTATTTTTATTTTTGGTGAGTCAGTGTGAAGACATTACCAGTAAAAGCTTCCATTCTTGCAGGAAACAGATTGTCATGTCACCATAATTTTTGTCAGAAAAGTGAGGAACTACTTAGAACAATGAAAGGCTAACAGCTAGTTAGCAGGGTCATCCATTTTAGCTTTTTAAAAAAATATAATTTAAAACATCTCCTGTTAATATTATTTGTAATTCTGGAATAAAACTGTGACTCAAACTGGTATCATGCGTGAATAATTGTATCAAACAAACAGAATGTCTGTTTGAAGGTTTTAATATCTTCAATACCTGATTTCAGATGTTTAGTATCATTAGCAGGACAGTGTCTGTGGTACTACCTAAAATAAAGTGGCTGCCTGCAATTTCAGATTGCCTGATCATCATCACCTCACCAGTCTGGTTAAAAGGGTTAACCCTTTTACACCTAAGTTTCAAATGTCTGCCTATATATTTCTTTCTTATTTTAATTGTAAGTAGTTCTTTAAATGTCCTGTGAGATATTTACCCATTTATCCATAACAACTGGAACTTTCAATATCCAGCAAGTTATTTTCGCAATTTACCGTCTATTAAACGAGTGCCCCCCGGATTCATTTCACTCTCTGCAGCTGTGAAATTACCATAATAACCCGATATAGGCTGAAAGTGCAACGTCTCACCTTTCAGAAACCGTTGGAATTTTTCAGATAGCGCCAACTGTGGCGGAATTACGGTACTGCAAATTTGGCCGTGTAGTCGGCAACACATTCCAGTTTAGAAAGGTTAAACTAGACAAGAGTTTGAGTAATAATTTTGATTTCCTGTCAGGCTGTCACTCGCCGCCTTGGTTTTCTGTCTGGTTAGCTTTTAGCCTTATCCATTACTTGCCATCCAACTTGTTTAACTGTGACATCAGAGTTCTGCAGATAAGGATACTATTACTTAACTACTTCAAAAATACCCAAACTATCTTTTTAAGAGATCTTGCTTCACTATATTTTCTCATTATACTTTAGATGATAACTAGGAATCTTGTGTCTTGTTTTTGTACAGTTTGTCACCAGAAACTGAGCAGAGAATCTTCAGTCTCTCTAAGATGGGATACTAGAGAAAGACATTATCACAAAGCAAGAGCACCTACAGTCTTTTCATGTGAGGTTACAAAACAGTGTCTTTTTTTTCACTGCGGTTTCCAGAAATCTTTTCGTCATTAAACCTGCTGCACTACTTTCTTCTTCGCCCACCAACTTGGTCTTGGCCATACAAAAAAAAGTTGCTTATACTGAGCACATTGTCCACACATTCTTTGTTTTTGTTTTGTTTGTTTTGTTTTTTTCGTGTTCATAAGGTTGAGAGTTCCGTCTCAGCATTTGTGGTCTTAGGGTTTTATTTGGAGGATTTTGGTTCAAGCCTCTCAGCAAAGAGAAACAACTGAAAGCAGGATCATTACAAGGGGAAAGAACAGCCGATGCTTTATGGGGTGATGATGGAGTGCTGCCCGTCCAGATAGCTGGTCATCACACTCTCCGGGACCCTGGCATCTAGCTCTCTCACACAGGACACCCGTGAAGCCCGGGGCACAGTGACACCGCTGGTGGTGGTGGCACGTGCCGCCGTTCTGACAGCGCAGCATCGCGTTGTCGCACACCCGAGCTGGAGAGACAAAGCAGAAAGGGCAGGAGAGGTAGACAGGAAGGCGTGATTAATAGATCACTCAGTGAAAGGGGCAGAACAGAACATCAACAAGCAGGTTCATAGGGCACAAGCTGCCTCTTCCTGTCCTGTCTGCGCAGCTCGGAGTCCTTACTGAGTTGCAGGCAAGTCAGGAAGGGCCAAATCAAGGACAGCAAACAGTCTTGAAAAAGACAGAACTATCAGCCGTATGGGAAAATATTTGCACTAAACAGCTGTTGTTCGTAGAAGAATGTTAGCGGTAAACATCTTTCAAAGAAAGCATCACTGCATAGTACAGCAAATACTTTCCTAGACATTAACAGGTACTTTCCAAGAACTTTTCTGGAACTTTGCAGATACTTTGGTAGACCTTTTTGTGAAACCCACAGCGTAGTTTTCAAAAATCACCGCATGATGCCAGGAACTTACCAGGTACTTTCCTGGAACTCACTGCACACCTTTCAGGAAGTAACCTGGAAATACTGTGCAATTTCCAAGGAAGCCTCCTATAAGTCTATAAGAAAGTTCCAGCAAAAGACTTAGTAGGTTCCTGTAAAGTTCACGAGTAGTACCTGATATATTTCAAAAATGTTCCAGGAAAGATCCAGGGCTGCACCTGGCTAACTTCAGAAGAGTTCAAATACAGTAGTTGATGAGCTCCAGTCTGTGCCTGGAACATTCGTGGAAAGTACCTGATGGTTCTTGTAAAGGACCCACAAGAAATCAGCTGGTGAGTTTGGGGAAAATTTCTAGGCAAGCAGATATGAAGTTTCAAGAAAACTCTAGAAAGCCGTGAAAGGCTTTCTACAGTGGACTATATCTGTATGTGTAGCACTCCATAATATGGAGGTAAGGACCAGTGAATCAAAGGAAGTAGGGCAGGTTCATGTATCTACTATACTTTACAATGTCTAAAACAACAATATTGTGAATACTGAATTTAAGCATCAGTCACAGCACTTCCTGGTCTATACATTTTTTGTTAAATGCTGAGTTTCTCCTAGCAATCTTGAATGCATCATTCCAAATCAACAGCCTGGCTGTGGCTTTGTGTTGGCTTTGAATAGTTAAAAATCACTTCTGCTTTTGAGTTACGTGAAATGACGTCTACAAAGTGAATTGATTTTTTTTCTACTGTTGGGAGAACATTATAAAGACGGTTTTCTGTATGTATGGGATAACCACTAACAGAATACTACAGCCTTTCCAGCTGGTGTTATTTTCATATTTGTAGTCAAGGTTTCAACAGAAAATACCACATTGTTAAAAAAAAGGTTCCATTCCCAGTAATGGATTGCCTTAGTGCCCATCAAATCTTTATTTATTTGAATATAGAGCGAAGGGGATTACGTAAGATGATGCTCACGTTTTTCTTTTTTTAGATAAAACCTCACAACTCAATTATCTCAGGAAGCCTTTCCACTGGCAGAGGTGAAATCCGGGAAGAGGTAATGTTTGCACAAAGATTTCAGTGTAATTGGATATCTCCTCCTGCATAAATAGTAATCACATTTTTGGTTTTCAGTAGTGCAGCTCATGCATCAAAAAAAAAAAAAGAACAAACAATCATTTTTCATGCCAAAACTGATTAAAAAGGCATTGGGGTTGCATCTAACTCAAAATCATTTACTAAGACATTGCTTGTGTTGTTTGCATGAATGGAAATTCCACCTGTGGATCCAGGTTTCTATCTTCAGTATGACATTTTGTTATGTGCGATGATGGATGATTTTTCTGTTTTTATGTGTATTGAAATTTTATTTATAAAGGAACTGCATAGGCAAATATTGCACTATTTCCAGTCTGTCTTACTTAAAATGCACAAAAGTGACAGATTCTTTTCAGCATAATCCATAAACAGTGGTGCAAAACAATGTGGTTGCCAAGACAGACTAAACCAGACACCGAGACAGACACTTTGGACAGATTTAAACTATTTAATACCAAACTGTAAATGCTAAATAAGATGATAAAACATGTTGTTTAAATAATATAATTCAGCCTATGGGTGAGTGATGCTCTGTGTGTCCTGTGGCTGTGCCTCAGGACAGTGGTGTCCCTCAAAGCTGCCTAAAAGTAGCTTGTGTCGTACAAGTCCATGTCAGCCATTTGGCTGGTTCTGTGTTAGAGGATGTAGGGAAATGGAAAAAAAAAAAAAAAAAAAAAGCATACTGATGCTAGAAAGTGTCACTCAGAACATGATGTAAATATCAATAATTAAAATGTAAAAAAAAAAATACATATAACTGCTAGATAAGGTCACAGATGAATGGAAGGATAGCAAGTTATTTCATCGTGAATCATCTTCCGTAGATCAGATGGACAATGAAATAAATAATAAAAAAAAGTCCTGTGTGAAATATAAAATTAATTTAAAACTTTGTAATGTATAGTGTTTGACACATTATGATGTTATTTAACTTACTTAAAAGGAAAACTACTATTTTTTAGGGTTTTTTCATGACTATAATATTTCAGAAATGGTCTGATTGTCTAAAAATCTAATTCTAATTGTCTTTTTGATGCATCCCAGAAGAACTTCCTAAAACCTTGAAATGACTATTTGATATGTTCAACTTTAGTGATAACTTCTAAATCTGCTGTATAATTTTTTTCTATAACTCATCCTCTTTATTACTGAACTGGAAACAAGTTGTCATGTGATTTTCAGATATGCCCTAATTTACAGCACAACAAAACTAGGCTTTTCAATAAAAAATAGACAAATATTGCATATTTACTTGAATTACAATCAGTATAGAATAGGTGAATTGTGTTTTTTTGACACAATGTTTCTGCTTGAATTTAAGTAAAATAGCTTTTTAGGACATTATTTACTCCTGAACTGGTGCCGGCAGCAGGGGAAGACAGGACCATGCAGCACACCCTCTGCAGACATATGTGTGCCGCACACCTCTGTCAGATCTGTGACATTTTAACAGTGTAACTGTTGTGACAGATCCGTCCTCGGGCCTCGGCGGTACATGAAGCAACAGGGAGAAAAATTCTCTACAGCAGCGCCACAACAGTGACACGAAGGACAAACATCTGACGCAATCGGAGGGCGTGTGTTTTAAATGTCATTGCATCTTGTGCACTCGGGTGTTTCTCCTTCCTGCAAAATGTTTTTGAGCCAATTAGAATACTATTGACTCATTAATAACCCAAATAAGTACATTTTGTGTGTTGGGAGGACAGGAAATGTTTTCAATTTGACAGATTTTCTAATCTTCTCATCTTTCTGAGGTCTTGATGTCCTCTGATACTCTGCAACTGAAGTCAGAGAGATACAGTGAACCACGGTATGATAAGAGGCTGGAAGTCACAAATCAATGCACTCAGTCATATCTCCTGCAACTCTTCTTTTTTCTTTTTTTTTGCAAAAGATCATGATCCGATGTGACCAAGGAGGTTATGTTGGCTACATGTGGCAAGCCGAGTTAAGTGTTTAATTTCAAAGCAACAAAACCAATATCATAAGAATCAAGTCTAATTCGTGAAGCTTGAAAAGGATAATTAAAGACAACCAAGACCCCACAGAGACAGCAGCACCTCCATTTAATTACATGTAAAAGGCAAAGTTAAATCATATCCACGCTGACGCATTTAATAAGTTTGAAAGGCGTTTATAACTACAGATTCACCAGTACAATTAATCATAACTGAAGATATTTTTCAGACACAGGATCTGCTAATTATATGCTTGGAGCAAGAACAGTGTTGCTTCAATTACACCCGGTCAATATCTTTTGCCATGATGTCGGTGTAAGCTGAAACGTCGCCGTCAGTCTTGCCTCCTCTTATTATATTAACATAAAGGCTTCATCATTAGTCAGTGATTTAAGGCTCTGAAGTTCAATATGCACCGCCAGTGTTATGATACACCACTTGACTGCGGAGGAGATATAAAATATCATCTCTAAAGACAGAATAGCAAATGCTTTCCATTTTTACGGGAGCGCTGCATTGGCTAATGCGTTTTAATTTGAAAGTGTGCATAAGTAAAGTTGTCTACTTCGTTTATGAGCAATGAAAAAGCCCGACACAATACAATTTTGTTTTAAGAAAGGGATCAAAGGAATACATCTATTATGAAATGTTGTGTTTTTTTGGGGGGGGATAATTTCTACCTTGGATTTAAAGTGAGATATGCAAAAATGTTTCTAAATGGCCAGTTTGGTTTAACATCAGAGATCTCATGCTTGACTGGCATTGTCCAAGCAAAAATAATCACAAATCCATATATTGGAAGCACATTTAGTCTTGTGTATTGGATTTTATTCATGGTGTTTATTAGGAACGAAAATGACATAATAGACACTTTGAATCTCAACTTGAGGCCTTGCTACTTTGCTATTTGTCAGAAAAAGCAAACAACACCAAATGACACACATTTCTTTGACTATTGATTGCTGTATTGTTTAGCAAGTCAACAAACAGGCACATCAGAGGAGAATAACTCACATAAATGGTCATGGTTATTACTATAAACTGACTGAACTGAGTGTATTTTTGGTAAAGTGCCTCAATTCAACATTTGTTGTAAACCTTTGTTATACAAATAAAACCGAATGCTGCGATTTCTTAGTCCTTTCAATATTTTTTAGATCATTCTTTGTGTCTTTTTATTTTGTTATGTGATGAACATGCATCATTTTAGCACATAATGGTGAAATGAAAATAATAAATGGTTTCCACAATTTTTCTCTGTGAAAGAAAATGTGGGGTTAGTTCTTTTTAGTTTGATGCCTCTAAAATAAATTCAGTGCAACCAAATGCACCAGAAGCAGCCTAATATATAAAAAATAATCCATCTGTGTGTGACTTAATCTGGGTATACAAACAACTGGAAAACATAATACATGGTGGAGGCAGCATCATGCTTTGGGGATGCCTTTCCTTAGCAAGGATAGGAAAGTTGTTCAGATTTGATGGGAAAATGAAATGAGCTAAATCCAAGGCAATCCTGGAAGAAAAGCTTTAAAAGCTGCACAAAAATTATGGACTAGTCAAAGTCTTAATCTAAACTGAATTTAGAATTTGTGGAAACATTTACAAACTGTTGTTTAATGTGCAATAACACTGCTGGTTATTAAGCAAACCGAACAAAACCATCATTCTCCAGATAAACCAAGCTGATAAAGACAAGCCCCAACAGATTAGCAGTTGTAATGGTAACGCAAAGTGATTCTACTAAGTACTAAAGTCACAGTGTTGGTATTAAATAACTCCACATTTTACATATTTTATGTCTTCTATTACTTTGTGTTGTTCTGTCAGATAAAATGTGAAAAATTATTTAAATTTGTTTAAAAAGTGTCTTTTTTATAGCATGTCACAAAGGCAGGTGAGAAGAAAGAAACATAGAATTTGCCCAGTCGGGTCTCAGCAGATTTTTATTTCTGAACTAGAAGACTCAGGGTCACACAGCCTACAATATTCATCAAACCAACTGAAGCCAACTGAACGCTTCGTTCTCACGAGGGCGACAGTTTGAAGCAAAACAAACTGACCTGCAGATATTAGAAGGCATCTGCAAGAATAGAAAAGACTCTACACATTCAGACAGACTGTATTTCTATCCCCGACTACATCAAATCAAAGAGACGCTATTCAAAATAGGTACAGTTTATGACTATGTTTGTTTTGTAATTAATTTTACAATTTCATTTCATTCGAGGTTGTTTGTGACTTTTGTAGGAAGTTCTAATATTAGTTTTATTCTAAAAATTGCTTTTCAAGTTGCAGGATAGTGGCTCTCGGGAACGGAAGTTGGGCAGCCGTGGTGTGGTGCATCTCCAGCTTCAAAAAGGTAATACACTTTGAAGCTCACCAAAGCTGAGCCTGGATTTCTTCAAGCTATTAGCCTAGTTTGTGTCACAATCTCTTCAACTTTAAATTTAGTTTGATATTTTTAGTCTGCTCGTAGTAGCTTCAGTGCACTCCTGTGTTTTTCATCCCTGTTTACACTTTTCTCTGTACCAGAGCCTCATGCTCAGTCACAGCTGTTCCTCATGTGTTTATTCTGCTGTACAGGATTCAGTAATCAGAGTAATCATGTCCCTCCCATCGTTGTCTCAGCTTTTAAAACGACAGTTTTACATTACAGTCCAGTACAAATAGCTCTCATGCATCCCAAGTGGCTGGAAACCAGTAGAGGTGTGTTGTTTAAATAAAAATTGACTGTATATTATGATGGACATAATTGATTATTCTTTGAATTAGAGCACCTTTGACACAGTTTAACAAAGCAAATAAGCAGATTCATGTTCAGTTGATGTGTTGTAAATACAAGAAACAAGCAAATGTTAATCAGAATGAAGAGATTTTGGTTGATAAGACTGCATGTTTTGATCTTCACACTTATTTACATAGATCTATGTGGGCTTGCTGGGCTTTTGTTTGATCGGTTCATTTCGAAACCACACGCACGGAAATCCACATACTCTTCGGAGCTGTTTATAATTCATGAACATGTGCTAATTTGCTTGGTTTAATGAATCTGGCTCATATTTAATTTAAAGAACTCTTCTGTAGCACAAATAAAACGATTAGCTGTTCTGCTTTCATTTGAAATTCAAATATACTAGCTTTGACCACAGAAATGTTGTTCACTCTGAAATGTTCGGTGCATTAAGTGATAACCTCATCAGTTTGTTTTGAAAAAAGTATACACAGGAAACTTTTAGATGAATAATATGCCCTGACACCTTATGTTGAAACAATAGATTTAGAAAAAATAAAAATAAAGGGAAAATTTGTAGTTCTGTCAACACAACATTGTATTATCTACAAAAGCGAGATGAAGAAAAAAAGAACCCCTCCCTTTATTTTGGAAATCCTTAAAGTCTTACTTTAATTTTTCTCCCTCCTCCTAGTTGTGAGAGCAGTGGTGCAGATGCGACTTAACACTCACTACACAGGATATCTGGGCCTGCGGATTAGCTGGAGATAGCTGGAGATCAATCTACATAAACCTCCCTGAAGCCTCTTTTCTCCTTCCTTCTCCTTCTCTGCGATTTCTTTTTTTTTTTTTTTTTTTTTTTATACTTTCTTTTTCTACCTTAAGAAGGCGGCAGAAAGGGTGCATCCCCAGAGGGCATTCTGGGTAATTAAAAAGAGGGCATGATCAAAGAGGTTAGAAGGCTGTGGACTCGGTGATCCTGAGGCACGCGGCCCGTTCCCTGCAGTGTCCTCACAACAAAAAAAAGGTCTGCCTTGTAAGGACCAGCGTGTGTCTGTGGCGGCAGGATGAAAGGCAGCTTTGGTCAAAACAGCCTACTGATTTCTGTAATTTCCATTCCCACACAAAGGCTTTTCTCCTTTTTTTTTTTTTTTTTTTTTAAACAGCCGATCAATAAGCAGTCAATTCTGTCTGTGAGTTGGTAATGTCATGCTGAAGTTACAAAACCTATAATCCTACCTTGGTTACGATTTGCAACACCGAGAGATGAAGCATTTGCTCGATCTGCGTGGAAATGGAGAGGGTATTTATTACATCAATTGTCATATAGTTCAACTTTCTATGCTTTTGAAAGCGGGGAGGGGGATAAGCATGCATAGTCCAGTTTTATTTATTTATTTTTTTACAGTATTCTACATCTCATCTGTTTTATATCAGTTATTTGAAAGCTACAGCAGGACATTGGGGGTAATAAATGAGTTAATGCACAGACAGAGTAGCGTGCATGCAGCCAAAGTGAATTTTCCACAACAGAAAGGCAGGGAGGTCTATGCAGGGAAGTGGCTGTTGTTATTCAGCATGTGGAGTCACCTTCAGGCATCAACATGCATAGGGATGCGCGGCTGGAGCCACGTCTTCATAAAGAATGGCTTTTGCTTTGGGCACATATTTGCGTGTGTGTGTGTGCACGTCTGAGTGTGTTTGAGCAAATATTCAGGAGTGTAAAAGCAGATATCTTTCTTTGTTGTGCTAATGCAGGGGCAATTGCGACATTAAAAAGAAAAGCTAATTAGTGAACAATGTACATTTCAACACAACTCGAACACACTTTTTGACTGTTTTTATTTAAAAATTAAAGTAGATGTAACATCCATGTAGCAGGGCTCTCTGAAAGTATGCACACCGTTTTCATCCCCCATTTGGTAAAAATGATTACTATATTTAGATTTCAAATAACAGAGCAACACAAAGTAATCCATTTAAAGTTTGTGACATGCATTTGTATTCATCCCCACAGACTGCAGAACAAACTTTCCCTGCAATAAAAGCTGCATGTTTTATGGGTTTGTTCTTTACAAAATGAAGGCAATATTTGCAAAAGAGCTGTAACTCTGGAAGATTTGCTACTGAGCCTCGGTAGGCAGCAGTTGTCAGGTTGCCATAGATTCTTAATTAGATGTAGGGTTGCACTTTGGTTGGGTCATTCTAAGGCATGAACAATTCTATTGTATCTCTGACTTTATGTTCAATCATTCTTCTACTGGAAGGTAAGCTTTCTCTTTAGTCTCAAGGATTTTTTTTTTTAACATTCTCTAGATGTTTTTGTCCAGAACTGCCCTGTTCTAAGCTGCTCCCTTCAGCTCTGACCAGCTTTCTTGTCCGTGCACAAGAAAAGCATCCCGATGGAAAGACGATACCAACGTCATGTTTCTCAGTGGGGGTGGTGCATTCAGGGGGTTGGTATCACAGCTCATGTAGCATTTTCCATGGAGTCAAAAAGGTTCAATTTGATCTCTACTGACATAAGAACCATCTCAAACATGGCTGCTGTGTTCTCTGCATGGCTTCAGTCATTTTTTCTTAAACAAGAAACTTTTTGTCACTTCTTCCAACAACCGCTTTCTTGTTGGCACTCTTGCTTAAATTTGCATAGTGCAAAATTAATTGTTCTGTTGAAAGACTATCCCACCTGAGCTGTTGGTCTCTGCAGCTCCTCCAGAGTTGCCATGAATTTCTTGACTGCTTGCCAGTTCTATCTGGTTGAATACAAATGCACATACCAATCAAACTTATTAGATTTCTGGTTTATCTTTTTCAAACAAGAAATAATTTACCCTCTGCTTCACTGTTATTGTAAATACTATTTTACTAATTGAATATATAAAGTCTGATTAAAATACATAGAAGTTTGTGGTTGTAAGTTGACAAAATCTCAAATGGTTCAAATGGCATTAATACTTTTTGAGGCACTAAAAAAGTCATGGTAAAGGCTTTGACCTAAAATCCTCTTTTCATTTATTTTTGTACAACAACAAAGCTATGAATTAAAAAACAAATCTTTATATGTCATCTGTTAATGCACTGTTTTCAGGCTTCATCATTTTGCTTGCTATTCTCCATAAAATTGTTCTGCTTTTATTTTCAAGAGGCTCAAAATGCAAAATTTTAAGAATAAGACAGCCTGTTTACAGGAATTATCTTTTTTTTATTACATGGAAATATATAAGACCTAAAGCAAATCTCTCCTTTTTAAAACTTTTTGTTTTTTTTAATCATTCCGGGCTTAAGTGCATATTATTCTCTTCATGAGATGCATAAAAAAAAAGTATTTTCTTCCCTCCATGCATTGGTCCACTTTCATTGATTAGCTGGGATATAAAATGTGCTGTTCTACAAGAATGTTTGGTGTAAATGGATTTTTCTGACCGTGTAAAACATGCTGATCACTGCTACACATGTGCCACAGTTTCTCACACCAACATCATCAGTTCAACAAGAGTTAGTCATGACTGGGGGAGGAAACCCATTAGTCAGCATGCCAATTAAAAAGCTCGAATAACTTACGCACTGGTCCATGATTGCTGGGAATGCCTGCGGAGAGAAAAGAGGGTGAGGGGGGAAATAAGTGTTTCATTCAAGTATCAGCTTGTTTCACTTTATGTTTGATACATTAGTCATAAAATTGCAAGAGAAAGCATTTGGATGGTGTTTTTTTTTTTTTTTTTTGCCCTGCAAAGCCCAATGACACAACACTTATCCATTTGGCTTCTGCTGTGTCTGCTGATTAGCAGCAGTTCGAGAACCTGCTCCAAACTCCACCTTTTGCTGATGATAATTACGGGTCGGCCAGAGACAAAATGTCAAAGAATTCAAAGGCTCAATATAAAATAGAAATCTTTTCACCAGCATTTTTTTTTATTCATGTTTGGAAAAGTTCCTGGAGCATCCCTGCAGCATCTGTTTGCTCCATATGTTGTATCAGTATCTGGCTGTGGCTTTACCATCTCTGCATTGCATAATAATCATCAGTGAGTGATTCCCGGCCTACAATTAATTCAATTTCTAATCTTTTCACTTTGTCTTTTGCCATTATTTTTTTTTTTGGGGGGGGGGGGGGGGGGGGGGGAAATTTTTTTTTTTTTTTTTTCCCACTCCATCTTCTTCATCCCCTTCCTCCTCC